GCTACTATTTCCAAATTATGTTTTAAACAATAACGGCAAAAATATTGTTTCTTGTCATGTCTGTTTGCATTCGTTGTCTTGTTGTGAGCTTTTCTCTCTCATTGTAAATGACTTAATGTGTATAGCGTTTCGCAAACATTTACTACAATTTCGTTTTCTCTACGTCATATCACGTCCGGTTTTTCAGATACCATTTTTTATGACTGTTAACGCTGGACAAGAGTGACAACGCAGCAAATGTCAAGTCCGAGGCCTCCAGCAATCTCATGTTTTTTGTTTATGTGAAATCATAAAAAGTAAATACGAAATTACGATGCTAATTTTGGCAGCGTATTTTGAAGCGCATGGCGTTATGCAGATCAAAGTAACTTTTAGTTGGCTCAGAAAAGCATTGTATACGAGGAATACGTCAACTGCTCACAAGGGGTCCTTTAACCCTTTTTCTAGCAGCCATGGAATGGATTCACCAAAAGAGCTGTTTGCCTCACGAATTCACCACCGCAAAAGTTTTTAGAATCCTTCTAGAACGAGGAGTTACAAGCATGTGCCACTCGTTGCAATTGCATTCTCTCGTCCCGAAGAAAGTGCTGGCTGCTAAATACGGAGGAACAGTAAGGGGAAAGAAAACACGTCCCACGCACCTGGTGACCTTGAGCTTGTTTTTTTTTTTTTTTTCAAATGCGCGGCTTCTCAGTGCAATTGTGCTTGCACGCGTGGACAAGTCGCGACCTCCCGCGGCGGCCCCAGTAACGACCAAGCCCCCCTCCTCCCTCCTTGCTCAAATCAGTCAATGGCTGGTATTTGGCCTGTTGCGTAGTCATTTTTGAGTAAGTAGTATCATTCGTCAAAAGAAAAAAAAACTAATTTTCGATTGTCTTTGGTAATTTATTGTAAATTTCAGGCCGCGTGCGGCGCGAAAGTTTTTGGCTTGCTTTTTCTCGTGAGCTTCGACTACAGATCAGCAGCAGTTTCTGACCATGCTCAAAAAGTGTTGAAGGCCCCTTTAAATTAAAATCACAAATCATTTTTTCGCGTTTCTCCCGTTACTTTGCTAGAAAAGTTGTTTTATTCAGACGATTTTGAATAAAATATACTAAAACTCAAGTAATATTTTTTTCGCAGTCACTGGTACCAACGGCAAGTATTATTGGGCATCTTTAAAATGAATGCTTTCCTATTTCCAGCAGTAGTCGCAGGAGTCAATCGAAGGACTTAAAATAAGCCAATTATTTCCTGAAAATGGGAGAAATTTCCTTTTTAAGGATACTCCCATGCTTTCTCAATATCATAATACAACAACAAAAGAAATAATTGAACCCTTCTACATTACCAGATTAAAAGTCAACGGCGTCAGCCAGGGATATGTAACCCTCTCACCAAAAGAACATCGAATACCTCAGGAATACGGGTGCAGATTCGGGTCAATTCTTAATGCAGTGTCCTGCGTGTGTTTTTCCACTACGCTAACAAGAAATATTTTTCATTTCGAAATTATTATTAATTACACTGACAAATTAAAGTGAATTACAATTGAATTTTGGGGGCAACAATGAACAGAAATACAAAGAAAGACACGGGGCAGAGCGTCTGCCTTTTGTTTGTGTCATGCCTGGAGTTTGTGTCTATTTTCGCGCCCTGAATTCAATAATGAACCCACACCAATTCACCAAACAAAAAGTTATGTAAAGTGACTTAGTTTGTAGGTGAGTACCACTAAACAAAAGTAAGTTTCCGAGGTCTGCGGAGGGAGGAAGTATTCATAATGTAGTTAGGTGGCTATGTTGGTCATGCCCCTCCGGCTGATATCATCTCAACGTGCTTTGCTTTGTAGCGTTCGTGACAATTTGTTTGTGCTGTGATGCTAGTGTCGGCGTTTTCAGGAAAAGAAAATTGCTAACAATTATGATATTGCCCAAAACGAATTCTGACTGCAGCGGCTTAGGTGTTTCAATTTTGCGATAAAGGCATGACAGATATGTATATGCATGTACAGTTGCATACTATCATTTTTTTCCACAACTTTTTTTCCCTTAGGGAACACACGTCTGCCAGTCTATTGAAATGCAGGATGCTTTGTGGTCGGAGAATTGTTGAGTGAATACACTTTATTTGCCTAACGATTGTGCCCGGGGTGCCAGGGATTCACCGTTCGAGGAACATATTCCAAGGTCCTCAGCAGTGGCCCTGTGAAGGGAGTGGACAGTGGAGGTACGTTCGACTTGCTGCACCAGTTCCTGGTTCTCAAAGACGAGTTCCATGTAAGTGCCTCGCGAGGTCGTCCTGTCAGTGTGTTGAGTTACAAACGAGAGGCATGGGATGTTCTTGCACATAAGTGGCGGAAAGATCTTGCTTGAGGCGGCACCCACGCCCGGGTCTTCGCGGCGACGGCGCTTTGCTTCCGCTTCGGTGGCGCACGTCTCTGAATTATGGCATCGCAAGCGCCGAACCTCTGCTTGGACACCTCGTTCATCAGCAACGGCAAAACACACACTTGCACCAGTTGCGTCTCTTATTGTTCAAAAGAAACTGGCTGAGACTATTTTGTACATAAAATTAACTTTACCTATCACGTTTAACGCTGTGGAACTTCGACCAACGCACGTCTTTTTGCTTGCCCTATTCCTGTTGAGCATACGTCAATTTCGTTTGATACTCGTACCTGCTTTACACGGTAGTGGAGATTGACTGAATCCTGTGGCCCGCATTCATTCGCGCGGTCATGCCTCCGACGGTGACGGCAATGGCGACGCAGCCTAACGGCGCTCTAATAAAAACTTGAGCAGTTAGTACAGCGCTAGTCCTGTCTTCTTCTCGTCTTTCATATTCGTTTTTGACACCGCCCCTTTACATTAGTATTGATACACGTTTGTTTTTAAAATCGCTCATTACATGTATGTAATATAGTTATATTACAATTGTTCTAATAATATCTTCTATACATATCTTTGTCTCATTATGTGTTAGGTCTTATTAAAGTGTGTTTAACAAAGAAAGCAAGCACTTAAATTTATTTACACTTCTTTCTTTCAATCATAGTTCGGAGAGGGCATCATTCCGGCAGACTTGACATCTTCAGGTAGTATGTGAAGGATTATTGGTCAGCTGCCAGGTCGTAACAACATGACGGGCTGCGTGACTCATTTACGATAGCTCATAGCGCAAGAAGGACGCAGAAAAAGTTTAGGACAACACGAGTGCTGTGCCTACAGGCAAAAGGAGTCACGGCCGGTCTGGAGGCGCGCGCTCGCTCCCTTCCGGCCGGTCTGGAGCGCGCGCCTCCAGACCGGCCCTGAAGGAGTGTTCAAAACTCCCCTCAATGACAACAAGTGGCGCTGACTAACACTCCCACATTTAAATGCACATATCTATCCTATAAAGCACAGGGAGGGATGTCCGCCACCTTAGCTCAGTAATAGAGCATCGAGCACATTATTCAAACGGTGCAGGTTCAGACCTTGCCCGCGGCAAGTTATCTTTTCGTCCACTATTTTTCTTCACATTTACATTACCAATACTTTTAATAACATTCATTATACTGCTGTTAGTATTATTGTCTGTTAGTTATGATTATAGTTGAGTGCAACAAAGAAACCAAGCCCTTAAACTTACAGTTCTTTTATTCTTTTCCAATTGTGGCTTTTAATTATTTTTAGCAACTGAAGACTAGCTGGAGAGTTTCATGGCCTCTTCTTTCCCCGCAAATAAGATAGTGTTTTTTTTATTAAATGTATGTAAGGAGAGGTTGGTGCCACGCATTGGCACCAACCTCTCCTTGCATACATTTATTTAAAAAAAGGTAGGTTTCCCATCTTGATAACACGATGTTTGTTTTTCTTTCTTACGACTGGTACCTAACAAGTTTTAAAATTCATGCTGGGGTGCCACGGTGAACACACCTAATATGGTTTCCCTTGCTGTTCAGAAAGGCGCCTGTCACTGAGGTCACCGTCTGTATTTTTAAACGTCGGGTCCTTTACTTCTGATCTCATTCCGAAACTGGCCATTAGGAATGAAAGTTCTTGATAAACTGAATCCATATTAACAATGTTATCTGAGGCTACAAATCTTCGTACGATTGTCATGCGGATCGCAATGCTCGATACGATAAACTATTTAGGAATCGTGGCGCCTAACCAATGCTGACTAAATTCCAACAGCGGGGGTCCTGAATATAGTTGAAGGAATAGAGACATGGGCCCACTTTGTCAATCTAAAAGGCGCTGTTTTAATGAATTGCCAGCGGCCTTATTGCGACGTTGGAGAAAGGCGGAATACCTGCGTACGTATGTGTAGGTTGCTATTAAAAGATCCTTAGACTGTCTACGCTCATTCCGAGTGTTGTACTGCGACTTGCTTTACAGGCACATCTTGTTTTCTGCTTGTAAAAGCCCAAAATTAACAGAAATATTTCGAACACACGTGGCCACTGATACCATTTTTTCTAAAAACCAATAATGCAGCGCTAACTTGGTGAAATAAACATTTTGCTGTTTAGTACGTCTGCATATCCGAGTAATCCAATACAACCCAACTTTGACCAAGCTGCAAGTTTGATATAGCATTGAGAATTTGTTGAGTGGTGAATAGCGCATCCGGCCCTGTTACTGACTCTAGCTCGACCATAGCCCGAAGATGTTACACTCGAGTCATCAAGTCATGCTGGCTGGAGCCCTGCCAGCTGACGCGTATATCGTATACTCGTTGCAAGGCCTTGACCATGCCCTGCCGGCCGCACGACCAAGTCTGCACAAAACAAATGACACTGCGCCATCTGTTTGCTCCATTTTTTGTCCTCTTCCCTAGTGACAGGCAAGATTTCTTGGATGGCTGGAAACCTTTCTTTCTCCTGCGGATGAAACCATGCTACGTTTTAAGCAAGTACGCACGTGTGTGGCTCGGCTTCTGTTCGGCCGCATGACAGGTCATTCGGGTGAATGTATGCGTAGAACCATCCGCTGTGAAAGTAACATCTACTAGTGACAAAGAGAGATGCAAAAAGAAAAAAGTCACGCTTCTGCAGGTTTTATTCGAAGGTACACATCTTTTCCTGTCTTGCGTTGCTTTCAGGGAGTGAGTGAAGGCATCCCGCAACCCAGCGGTTTGTTCTTGCGAACCTTCGTCAGAAGCGCATTAGCCGCGCAGCATCACTGCAGCCGTCAGGAGACGCAATAAAAACACGCGTATACACAGTTACGTCCCGTGGCGGCACCAGAGCGACCGCAACGGAAAAAATCCCTGATGCTTGCCGAATTGTACCCTTGCGGGACGGGCGCTCGGAATCCTCTATTTGGACTGAGAGGACTTCCGCGTGCGCGTCCCACGAGGCACTGTCCGTACTTAGTGCTTGAGGCCTCCGAAGCCGTAGCCACCGCCGTAGCCGCCGCCGTAGCCACCTCCGTAGCCGCCTCCGTAGCCGCCATGTCCGTAGTGTCCACCGACGAGATGCGCGCCCTGGTGAAGCTTGTTGACGTGGTGCACGGTCTTGACCAGGAACGAAGGGCCCGGGACAGTCTTGTGGTATCCGTAGCTGTGGCCTTCGTCGTATCCGCCATATCCGCCGTAGCCGCCAAAGCCTCCGAAGCCACCGTAGTGACCGAGGTCACCAGCAAGGACGGCGGCGGCGCAGGCGCACAGGAGGAGAGCGACGAACTGCGTGCACGAAATGTTTACATAAGTTTAAGTGTTAATAGAGAAATGCCAGTATGCACTTGCACAGAAGTAGCTGATGCAGCGTTGCATTCACATTTTCATAGTTCTAACTTTCTCGTGAAGAAAGCGCCCCCCCCCCCAATAAAGAATGAAAGAGAAAGGAAGAACTTCGAAGACTGTCCAAGCCGGCAACACATGTTTCTGGGTTCCTTGCACGTTATTGCTGAGAGGTAAATTGAAAGGACGCTATATGGAGAACTCTATAGGGAGTGCACTGCATGAGTCAAGAAGTGAGAACTTTATGAAACGGGCTTACAAGTAGCTTTTCTAGACGAGTGAATTAAGCTTAAACTTGAACAATGCAAGCCTGAATCACGGCACGAAAAATTCGCGTTTTTGTGCCTCATTTAGCTGTTCACAAAGCTATTGAAGGGTACAAAAAACACTTTGAATGTATTTCGCGTGTTTTCAGAATATTCAGACCACATGAAAAAAAAAGTGCCAAATACTAAGTTTGCACTTGCTTATTTTCTTGAACTAATCGAACCATGCGGAGAACTGAAGTGTTACTGATGTAATACGGAACGGAACAACGCGCGTAGGTTTCTTTTTTCAATTTAATGTATCGGTATCAATTTAAGCAAACACTGCACGCTTATTTACGGTAAGAGTAGAGGCCGACGCAGTACTGGCTAAATGACTGGTTTGGTTTCCGGTGTACCAAGCAATAGATCAATTAATTAATAATAATACTTAGGTTAATATTGAAGCTTAACGTCCCAAAATCATGATATGATAATTAGAAATGCCGTAGTGAAGTACTTTGGAAATTCAGGCCCCCAGAGTTAGTTTAAGGCACACCTAAATCTAAGCACACGGGCATCAAGTTTTTTTTTTTTTTTCACCAAAAATTGGGCTGCCGAGGCCGGGATTCAATCCCATGACCTGGAGTTCCCGGCAATAAGATAGGAATATAACTTGACAACGAAACAGCAGGTACCTCCGTTACCTTATTTGCTGTTACGGTGACTTGAATTCAGGGATCACTCGCACACTTTTTTTCTGAAAATGCTTGTTTGTCTATGAACTACATACAATGGTTACAAAATTGCCAGGCTACACTTTAATGATGACCGATTAGACAAGCTTCTCAATAAATAGAACGTATTTATTCATGGCGAAAGGGATGTCACCTCCTATTGTTAATTGCCTTTACAAGGTGGCACAACACGCATCGTTTGATGCAGGAGAAAAGTACAGCGACTGGCATGAGTGCGAACACAGCCTTATTCCAGCATTGCTACCGAAGTTGTGGTTGGTGTTGTGGCCCTCTATATAGGCGGCAGTAGACAGCCTGATCTCTCCTTCTTTCCTGTGGGTCCTTGTGTATTCGGAATCGCAGATGCAAATATAATAACACTATAAGTGAATGCTATTATCCACATCTCTTGACAAGCTCTAGATTAGAGTGAACTTAAATATGTATGTCAACACTATCGTGCTACGATCATGCAGTTGTATTTACTCTGAGATAAACCAGATAGAAGAGAATAAAAAATAGCACCTTAGGGGAAAGTTGAAACCGAAGAGTTGGCAGTTGCCAAATTTTTTCAATGTCATGAAATTCTTCATTTATTGCATTGAATTATTATGCGATTCATCCATTGATTCACGGAGAGGCCTCCTTTAATAAAATCTCGCGTCAACACAATCACTTTATATCTCATACACGCACACTTCGCTTGAAATCTACATTTGCGTAGCAGACTTGCACCGAGTCACCCGAGAATCTACAGACGCATTTTCGTCGCCGTTCGTAATATAAGCAGATAAATAGACTGATTATACAGACGGTTCACAGAGACTCGTGTATTTATTTCCATCGCTGTGAAGAAAAAAAAAAGAAAATGCAAAGCACGTAGCTGATCCAAATGCGCAGCTGCGTCTCGGTGAGGTAGCCGAGAGGCAACCATGCGCTTCTGGTCCCCACGTGCTGTGTCGCGCCGCTTTTTTGAACACACCTCCGTTTAATGGTCAGTTTGACAGCCGTCCCTGTAGCTTCCAAATGATGAAACAATGAGCTCGGATTTCTCCCCAATGCATTACTTCATGAATGCTCCAGCGGACGATGAGGAGGGTCACCGTGTGAATTTACGCGCATAATTCACAGTGTTTACGCTGTCACCCTAATCCCCTTTTTTATATTGGCTACTTGCGCTATGTTCCGATGCGGTTATGAGTAAGTTTAGTGATATGTGCAACGTAAATTGTTCAAGGTGAATGAACGCGTCGTAGACAATTTCGCCTACATCTTGACTGCACTGCGAAACTCCTCTATGCATACGCGAGTATAGAACAAGAACTCGACCACACGGCACTCGTCGTATCCGCGTGGCGGGCTCTAGCGGCCGCGTGATGAACTCGGATGAAATGAATAAACTTTCAAGTCCAAGCGTCGCGCCCAGTTTGCGAGCCAAGCGTGGTTCCAACTTACCGCAGCGTTCATGGCGACGGTTGGCGTTGCAGCACAGGCGGGCTGAAAAATTCCTGAAAGTGCTTCGTTGGAGCGGAGGAAAGCTCGAGTGATGGAAGTCCGAGTGGGCCGTTGGTCTTTATATACGGTGTGAGAGACAGGAAGCGGGCATTCGCCAACGCCTATCGCAGGAGTGAGGGAAAATGGCGCCAAGAAAAAGAGAGGTGCGAGGTGGCCGAATAAGGGTGAGCTACGACAAGTTAGCTTGTCTCCGTGGAACGCCTGAAGAGAAAATGAGGTGTGATAAAGGCTTCCTTTCTAAAAGAGCGCCGCAAATGCGTACAGCTAAACAATGCGTTTATTTTTTCTCTCTCTCATTGTCTCTCTCTTAGTAGTTGGGTTTCTGGGGCTTTCGCGTCTCTCGCCACTTTCTAAAAGAAAGCGCATTCGGTGAAACGTAATTATCTTCGGCCAGGTCCGAGCAATCGAGCACAATTCTTATCACGTTTCGCTTGCACCCTTGCGTAGCCCAACGGCGGACTTGCAATCGACGTCCCAATCTGGTGCCCCCCCCTCCCCCCCCCCGCAATGAAAGCAATCTGCCGGGCGAGAAGACACGCGCACGGGGACCCACGCCTCGACAGTGAGAGACAAAAACTGTAGTGCCATTCAAATATTTACAGTGCTCCCACATTACTTCTCGTTTCTTAAAGTCGTTTTTGCTTTGCTCTTGTCGACAGTGAATCTCTAGCGCTGTCAGCGTTCTTGCCTTGTAAACGCCGGCGTTTGCCGATGAGAGCGGATGCCAGTATTTCTAATTCCGAGAGCCCAGCCGCCAGCAGGTCGCTCTTGATCGGCCGGGGAAGCGAAACTCGAAACTGGACGCAGAGATAAAGAACGGGGAGGGGTCTTAATATTAGACGGTCTGTCTTCTAGGCTTTTTTTTTTATCTATGTGCATCTTTTTGTTAATTTATTTAAACACAATTTACGCCGCCACACCCTCCTCTCTGTATGAGTTGGCGCGTGTATTCATATATCTATCCATCTATATAGGTAACAAACACCACATCGGTCACTCCTTTCCGCAAACGGTCCGGCAGAGCGGAGCGGTCAGAGCCAGAAGCGTCGGCGCCTGCAGTTTCCGCGTTCGGCGCTGATAGCGAAACGCGCGGTTCGGTTTATTCATTTATTTATATTTTTGCCGCCTCATGTACAGAGACGTCGTCGATCGCCTCGAAACGGAGGCCCGCCGACGAAATGCCGCGTCGCCGAAGGCGCGTCCGACGACCACTAGGCCGCCTCTTGTTTTGTTTCGTTTTTAACGTCTCACTCAGTACTTCGTCGGGACGCTCGCGTTTATTGGCGCAACTGGTGAGAAGGCCGTCAAGCGCGGCGGGACCCGCGGACTACACTTCGGTCGTATTTTCGGCGTGAGGCGTAGCCGCTTTAGTTTACGCCGCATGCGATGATTACTTCGCATAACGGAGAGTGAAATCTGTACTGAGGCTATACATGGGTGGATTTTGAACGGCGCGCGCGTGTTCCGGCCACGATAACAACGCGGACATCCCGAGCATAGTCGTGCTTACACGTCATGCAGGGCTCTGTGTTTCATGATTAACCCGTTATGATCGACAGGAAACGCATAGTCACACCAGTAAAAAAAAAAATGAAACATCAACTGAAAGTTTCGGTTCATCCGGAAAGTTCCGTATTTTCGGAGACACTGAGTTAGGATCGTGGTCCCCCGACAGAGGAGCACTTGTCATGAAAACGAATAGTGCTCGCAACACGGCCATCAGGCTGTGCTTCCCAATGGAAAATCGCAAAGAGGCGATCTCGATATTATAGAAGTTGCTGTTTAGGATCTTTTTATCATTTTTCACATGACATGTGCCAACTGTCCCTTTGCTATGCGCCTTTAAGGTGCTGTCAAGTGGATGGAATAACGTATACTGTGTAACAAGCTTGGGCGATCGCAATGATTGCCTGAGGGTTATTGTAGACAAGTGGAAGACCAGTGAAGTCAATATACAGGCTACTGATATCACTACACTGGTTTTGTACATTTTTCTACGCAGTCATACTTTGAGCGAAACAATAGGCACGGCTTGTTATAGATATACATGTCACCCAGCAGGATTATGCGGGCTTGATCAATTTGAATTTTCTGGTTATTGTTTGAAGCCTGTTCCTGCCGTGAAGGAACAAAAACAATACCTTGAACCAGACAAAACCCTGGCCCAGGAATAAACTGTATGACAGTGAATGTTACTGTCAGGGACATACCTGTCAAGAACGTACCATACCTAACCCTACTGAAATGCATCCGAAAACATGTAAAATACAGTAAGTACTATACAAACAAGCTCAAAATGCTCCACCGTCCACCGCTTGTTTTTGGGATGAACGAAAGAAGCATACACACGGAAAATAAAGCTGGATGACTAGTGAGGAAGTTCTGCTGATGAGTCAATCTAGATGAGCCAGTGTGATGGCAGAATGTGGGTACAGAGACACGGTTTATTGAGTAAGAAGACCACTAGTTTGGAGCACACGCCTGGTCACTATATAGGCAAATTTTATTCCTCTTACTCATATTCAAGGCTAACGAGAGAGCTCATTGCTTTTCCAAATGATAGAGTTAATGTTCACGCGCTAACTAAGCGATGAAGTGCATTTTGGCAGTGATTAGCCTACTATAGGTTGCATAATTTTTGCCTGATACATTTTGTGTTACTGTGCTTGCAGAGGTCATTGGGTTCTATTCGATGATCAGTATACACAATATTAATATGACGGACAAACAGCTGTGGTTCACGAGCGGCTTTGATCACACTTATAAGTATTTAATATCAAGTAAACCTTGCCTAACGCTTATGTACAACTTTCTATGAGGATATATAAATAGGTGCGAGGAAAACAATGTGTTATTCATCGCATTTCGCGAAACACTTTTGTTTTAGTCGTATCGACTCAAGAAGTGGCCACACGGCCTTAGCTTACGCAGATCTATACAAAGTTGGCACGAAATTGTCAATACCGATATAAGCTTAACATCAAAATGCAATCTATTATGCAAAGCTGAGGTATCATGTTGCTAAGGTTCTTGTGAGGCTCTGCAAGCATGCACTGATTACTCAAAGCTTGAGTTACTGAATGAAAACTTGTTAAACAATATTTTGAATTTTTAGTACCGCGCAGTGCGTAATTCAGTTCTTCGAGTGGAAAGTAAAGTACATGAGAAGGCTTATTGTTTCACCTCAGAGCATTCAAAGCCATAGCACCTGTGACAGCTCTACTGTGCACAGCAAGTAGTGGCAATTTATAGGAACTATTGACCCTGTTTGTACATAAAAGAGTGTTACAACTTTATGCAGGACTTTTTGACGTTTGTAGCCAATCCACGTTACAAATTTGGTTGCTTTTCTTGTCTGTATTAAAATAACGCTTGATTCAGGGCTGCATGCACATGTGCGTTACTGCAGCGCATACGGCTCGTATGTGCTAACGAACAGCTGTTCACGCGAGAGCCTTCAGATTTAGGATATACATAGCGTTAGATTGTACGCGATGTAATACCGTGTTTGACAGTTCCTTACGTAAATGTATCAGAGAGCCTAATTTCAGAGCCAGTAGGTGTTATTCCTCGTGCTGTTGCCTTGTATCATAACGCTCCTTTATTGTTCGTATGTTAATGCGGAAACCAAAAGCAAAAGTTCGTATGCATAAGCAAGTTGATACGCGCGCAGAGTATCAGGTCGTGTAACACTAAGCCAAACAAATTCTTTAAGTACTTTGGCAGAAGAATTTGGAATTTCTTAAACAGATCTATTACTGAACTTCTCTGTTAAGACATGATTCTCTCGTCAAATGAAGTCACAACGATCATGTGGGATCTGATAAGGGTAAAATATCATTTCGCAATTCAGGGCCGTGGTGCTTTTAAATGTATAACTATAAAACCATTTAAATGCCGCCCGCCGCAGTGGTTTACTGTTTATGGCGATTGTTCAGTGACCCGAAGGTCGCCATGAGTGAAGCTCGTCCATGGTGCCCACAGTTTTATAGATGCCCTTTGACAGGACCGAGGCGGAATGGAAGCTAGCACCCAAGCTCAGGCGAAGAAGTACTTCTGCGACGCTTGTCCCATGCAGCTAGAAGACACGTTTAATTCACGTATATACAAGAGTATCTACAAACAAAAGTAGAAATGCGCCTTCATATCACAAGAACACAAAAAGACAGGAGAGCTTAGCGCAAAACTGACACGCGTTTTTGAAAAACAGGTCCATAAAGAAACATACCATATAAAGAGTGGCCACTCGAGCCTCTTCGCGACCCAGCAAGATAGGCTCTGCTCAACTGCTAGATGGCGCGCCCATTCTCGCTTCCACTCTTCTGTCGCGGCATATAATAGCTGCCTCAGGAAGTCAATGAAAACATAAGTTTGGCATCAAATTTTTGCAAAGAAGAAACTTTATTGATTTGTGCAATTTTTCACATCCACTTTACAACGTGTCCCACTGAGGACGTATAATGCTTTATCAAAAAATCAGTAAAGTTTGACCAGAAAGTGTTGTTGTTTTCATTTATTTTGGACAAAGGGTACAAATTCACGTGGTTTAGATGTGCTCTAGCTGCATCCCTTTCGTGCACGAATGGGTGTGTAGCCTAGTGGTAAAGACACTCGTTTTCAGAGCATGAGGGTGCGGGTTCCAATTGCAGCACCAAAAATAAGAAGTTTGTTATTTTATTGCTGCAAAAGTCATGTTCGGGTCTGTCCGGCCACTCGTGGCGCTCAAAGAAGCTCAGTATATAGCTTGGCCGCAGGGCCCTATGGGAGTGGCCACTTTCTATGTATGTTTCTCTATGCCTGGTTCGTGCACGCCATTATCGTGAGGCGTTGTTTTCGGACGTGGACTGCGTGCAGCAGGCAAGCCGACTTTTAAAGACGGTAGCCTTTCTTGGAGACCTTCGACGTAAAATTTTTCGTCTGTCTGTCTGTACATTTGTATTTTTGTCCACGCTTAAGGGTACCGGGTACTCTGAACGGACCGGCCAATACCCCAAATGGCCGACCCCATCCGCAGCGCCT